TACTATATATTGCCTTAGTAAAATATTCAATATTTATTGCTTTATTAAATTTTAAAAACTGTGATCAGAACTTTTGGTATACCCTAAGTAATTATGCTATTTGATCAATGTTTAAGAATTATAACGGTCACGGAGAGTTTAAAGATTTTTCACCATGGAAGTATATCAGTAGAAGGTTTCGAAAGAATCTCAAAAACCATTCTGCTTTCTTATTTTGATAGTAAAACTCGTTGGTCCAGTGTTGGTACCCAAGCAGACAAACTTTTGAGAAAACGCGTTTAAACGCACAGCAATTGGCCTAAAATCAGCAAAAATTTTTGTTGATTTTAGGCCAATTGTTGTGCGTTTAAACGCGTTTTCTCAAAAGTTTGTCTGCCTGGGTATGGGTTTCAAATCTATTGGGGACCGACTGACCCGGCCTACTCAGATCGGTTACATCTTTGCCTCTAATGACTAAAACTCTTCATTATAACTGTAGGACTAAAATGTTGATGAGTAATATTTTCGAGACTTGTTTTCCTCTCTTTGTACGTTTAATTTTCGAATAATATTCATGGTAGAGAAAATGAAAGTCGATTAACTTTCAGTTAGCTACGAAAAACATCATAGAATTGTTTGAAATAAGAACATGACAATAGACAATTTTTTATTGTAATGAAAAAGAAAAACATTTAAATGGTTTCATCTTGTAATGAATGACTCAATTTAATATAAGTTGATAATGTTGAAGAATTATTTATTTGTTGATGTGTTGACATTGATGTTATTGTCATCGGTGTTAATTGTGGTGATGAACATGAGAAAAGAAATATATCATTTAATGATAATGAAAATGATTGTTTTATATTTGATTTTTTCTCAAATGATTTTTTTTCTATTTTATGTTGAATATAAGAACAAACAATAATAATAATAATAAAGATAATAAAACATATTAAAGAAATAAAAATAATTTGTTGATAAAATTGAATAAAATGATAATTTTCACATTTAAATTGAATTAAAAGAATAAAATTTGTAAATATAGCAGAATAATTATTTTCTTCTAAATAAATATCAAATGAATATTTATTTATAATTGATTTAAGAATTAAAGTTCCATTAGGAAAAAGAATAATATCTGATGATGATGGATTTCTTAAAAAAAATGATACATTTTTATATGCTTGAAATTGAATTCGAATATTTTCATTATTATTTAAAATAAAACAATATGGAGTTTGTGGTTTTAATAGAATATTATTATCAATAAGAATTTCTATTAAAATAATATCTGTATATAAAGAATCATTAGCAATTATTCGAAATTGAAATTTATTTATTTGTTTTTGATTAAATTTTATTTTTGTATATAAACTTCCATTTGTTTTTAATTCAATTAAATTTTTAATAGAATTTAAATCATTTGGATGAATATAATAAATAATTTGATTATTTTTATCTTTATCTTCAGCATGAATTTGACTAAGAAATGTTTTAGCTAAATAATTTTCTTGAATTTGTATTTGAATAAAATTTGTATGAAATTTAACTGGATTATCATTTAAATCATTAAGATAAATATTTATTAAAATTGATGTTCGATGTCCAATTGAATCTTGAGCAATAAGAGTTAAATTATAAAATGATTTATATTCATAATCGAGACTTTTTTTAATAATTAATTGATTTTGTTTATTTATTTGAAAAATATCTTTTTCTTCTTCATTTTTATATTCAAAATAAAGAATAATATTATCATTTTCATCATTATCATATACTTGAAATGTATGAATAATTATATTTTCTTGATTATTTTCATCAATAATAAATGAATTATTTATTGAATTATTAAAATATGGAAAACAATCATTTATATCAATTAAATACAAATCAAATGTTTTTTTTAATGAATTATTTGGTTTTCCATGATCATAAATATATAATGAAAATGAATAAGAAGATTTTTGTTCACGATCAAAATTAATCTTTGTTATGAGAATAAATGTATTATTATTTACTTTTTCTAATTCAATAATTGAATTTGAACATATTAATTCAACAGTAACATATCCATTATCACCTGTATCACAATCAGAAACAGTTAGATAAAGTAAAGCTGTATTTATAGTTATGTTTTCCA